AGAGCGGAGAGACACAGTTCACGAGAAATTGAATAATTAATTCAAGAAATCATTTATGGGCCCCTAATCCACTCTCCCTACCTTACTCCTCTTGATTTTTATTTTCTGGGTCATTTAATGAGTCTAGTATACATGCAGAGCTGCTCTTGTTACTTGAATTTCTGTTGTTCTTGAGGAAACCGGGAGGAACCTTGGAGTATTCGAGTCGGTAACGGCTTCCGTGTTATGACGGGCTGAGTTGTGCATCAAAGGAGGCTTCAGTGCTGCCAAATGCTTCGAAAAGATCTAACTTGCACAATTCTATTGCAATTTTATTTATGTGAAAACACTTCTTTGTAAACAAATGTATTTCGTTTGTAAATATTAAATAATTTATGTTTCTGGAGAGTTACTATGCTTCTGCAATGCGAATTGTTGCCTAGAAATATTTTTTTTTCAAACCAACGTTTTGAGTGCTTATTGCGGCTCAGCCATTCAGAATATCCATATCCACCACACACCATCATTCTTACCCAACTCTTTCTTACCTGATGAAGGACCACCACATCTTGGAAGCTTGTGAAACTTGTCTGTAGCAGAAAGCTAATTAATTGAGAGCTTGTCACCATCATTTATAAATAAATAGAGACAATAATACCATATTAATACATAATATATAATAATGTATTAATACATATAATTAAACCATTAAATTGTTGCAAAGTAAAATGATGACATATGCTGCATGAAAGCATACATCATTGAATTATACTAATACAATAAATGCAATTGAATTTTGGCATGATAAGCCGTGATTAATATTCATGTAACCAGTACAGTCTATGAACACATGGATAAAAAGACTATTGTGAGGGATTCATAACAGAATAAACATAGTGCTGTAAGGAAATGCATGGAAATTACGTGCGATGCCTGGAAGAACCGCTGTGCATGCACATGCAGTAAGTAGACCATTTCCAGTGGTTCAGATGGAGAATTTTTTGTTAACACCAGAGGCAGAATGGCAGGTTGGCAGACCTGCCGTACGACAGGAAACATTGCCGTGTACGTGACGTATGACGTAGCGTGTCCTGGCTAGAATGCTTGCCTCAACAGTCACTGTTCAACCAAGAACATGAACACAGTACCATTGTGCATTATAGACGAATGAAATTATTTCTACAACAATTAACTAGAGTTCTGCAGCAGACATATGCTCACGTGCAATATAATTAGTTCACAGTTCAGGCGATTGTAATTCACAATAGTAATTATAATGATAGAAACATGATGAACTGCGGAAGCAGCAATTAATAGTCTTGCACACGTGTGAATTGAATACACAGCGATGTGATGAGAACATGAAATGGCTGATGTGGCAAGGCACGGAGATGGGAATGCCTTGTGCTGAAATTGATTATTTAAAGATAATCAGCACATCGTACAAAACTCGAAACTATTGCACTGACCTTCAACAACCCACACAGGCGAACATTGCTATGTGAAACGTAAAAGTATGAGTACGAACTTGCGCGGATGCGTTCGCGACCAAAGATTCTCTCGCAATGATCTGCAGGCGACGCGTGGCCCCGCGTATCAGCCATTGTCTTCCCGTGCCATTTGGCTTGTAACCAAAAGAAACTTTTGTTACAGTACATTGTAATTGGCAAATTAAATTTATTGCTATTTACGAATAGAATAAAATGTAAGGTTATTTAGCTTTCTCAACTGTGAAATTTATGATTCTAGTTTTAAGTTTAAGAATGTTGAAGTGATAATGTTGTATCACATGACTCAAACGTTGCCTTTAACTGCCACGCGGGGCTGTGGTTGGTTCTGTAAACGCGAAAGGAGGGGGGTATTGTCAGAACTGTGCATCCAGCACGAGCTTGCAAAAAGCAGTTATGGAACACTTTACAGAAATGACTCGTACTGAACCCTCGTTGTATTGATGTGCGTGTCGAAATGTAATTAATTTTATGAATATGTAGCTTGCATGAACATATGCTTAAAATTGTCTTGAGAGCTTATTTTCGGGTTTTTGACGTTTCCTCGCGGGGCATTCTGTACAGGATGAAGTTAATGTGTATTGGACGACTGACGATCTATCAATTAAACTTTCTTTAAACTGTAAAATACTTCCCTAGGGGCTTATCCGTACTGTCATCTTTTTTGCTGTTATTCAATAATGAATACATTCTCGCTGAATATTAATCATTCACAAACAATACAAGCACGTAATAAAATACGGGAAATCCCAACACGTTAGTACAGACGGTGTTGCCAGTCGCTACAATGAGTAAGACGTCATGTAAAAACGTCGTCACAGAATAAGTAATGAAAGATTCCGTGCTCATTTCAGTCGGTCTGAATCGTAGGTGCGACAAAACTAAGTAGTGAAATGGTTCAAAATTTTACAAGACATTAATATTATTTATTGTGAAATTTTGTTGCCCGTGACGGGCAGCACTACGCCTAGCCACCGTAGTCTTGACAGTCAATTCTAGAATATTTAACGATTTCCGAGATGGGGATGAAGATTCTACTTCTACTTCTTTTCCATGGTCCACTTGTCTGCCGAAAAAGTCTGTCATTCCTGTGAAATGTTACTATTCTGTTGAAAATGAAATCTTTGTTAGTAAGACTATTCACAAATTAGATATCTATTGGCATTTTAACACTGTTTTTGATCAGGAAGCTTTTTGAACGAAGTCAGTTTAAAAAATAAAATGAAAACTTTTGGAAAAGAAGCTACCGCACTGATATTCTTATGAGAAAAATGTTCTTCAATAATACGTGAGCTCTAATTATCGCAATTTAATGTTTACAATATACTTTTGTGAATTGCCAGAGTCAATGTGGTTAAAATTAGCTTGCTCAGAAAACTTTGATGATCATAGTCATTTCTATTGCTTATGATCAACGATTGACAAAATTTAACGCCGTGTTTTGAATGATTTTATTATTGATTGTATTGTGTGTATGAGATTAGCATTGTTGATCTAACCATACCGATTCATTGTAGTGGTGCCTTTTACATTATCTTTTAATTAGAATCGGGGTTACATGTAATTCTGCAAAAAAATAGATCTTAACATTTTGACAAAAATATGCCTTGACGGTTTCCTGATTTCATAAAACGATTTTTTTTCCGTCTGTCCGTCCGTCCCGAATGGCTGACGGCTGCCGCATGTTGAAGTTTGTGCAGATAATTATTCTTACTTGCGGAATGTCTTTTAGAGCAAAGACGTGCGTAGTATGGCAAACGCGTGACAAATAGTAAGCAAAGCTTTATTATGTGACACGCTACAGGGCACAGTCTACTATATGTCAGCGCATCAGATGATATCATTGCAATGCCTCTTTCCGGGAGATGCTAGGGTACGAATCCCGGCGATGGAAGGATTTTCGATACTACATTGTCAGCTAAGTTGAATTCCGCTACTGACTGGAGGAGAATTCTAGCAGCTGACTGATCTGATCGGTAGTTTTCCGTGATTTCTCCGATGAACACCCGGCGAACGTCGGAACAGTGTCCTAACAAACGCTGATGAAATCTTTCCTTCCTCTTCTTTTCCTCACCTTACAGGCACACTTACACTAACATGCCCTACACTACATAACATGCCGGGAGATCGGTCGGGAGCCTAGAGCTTGTTCCGGTTGCGGCGGTGCCCGCTGGTGGGAGATTCCTGATCGGGGAAAATCCCCACACGCCGACGGTCGACACTGGATCTCGCAAGGGGGGTGATCACCCTTCCCACAATAAAACATCCAATACACTTACGGTACTAGTGACCTTAACAGTTGACGTGCCCGGTATCTTTAATCAATCAATGAATGAATAAACAAATGTAGCGAAAGGTGTTTCGCGAGCATTTTCGTACATTCCATTGTGAGTGGTCCGTTGAAAAGTCGCCTTGCAGTACATAGCACAAATATATCCTTTCCTCTATGCTCTGAAGTCGGATCTCGCACCCTCTTGAAGTCCCGTTAGGTATGATGGTAGGCTTCCGTCGCTCACCGCTGCCCCCTTCGGGCCGCTGCGCACCCAGCACCCGGCCGCAAACTAGCACGCCCCAACCCCAGGTTCTTATCTGTGCAGGTAATTCCATGCAGATATTTACGTTCAAGAACTCAGAAAATTGAAGCCGAAACGGCAATACGTAACTCGCTGTCGGAAGGTGTTGTTTCTCTAGATGATGATATTATGAGAAATGAATTAAAATATAGTAAAATCAAAAAGAATAGAGAATAAATTCAGTGTTTATGCAGAAAGTGATTGAACCCACGCATAATTATGACATTCGCGCATACTCCGAGAGGTTAAAGAACCAGATGCTAGGCATAAAATGTACATATCTTATTGCAGTAAGTGCAATTAAACAAGTTATATATCAGCAGCGAATATCTCTAATTAGATATGCTCGCCAGATAACTGAATATTCACTTGATGAGAAAGCCAACGGCGAGTCAATAGTAGTATTCATCCATATCATAACCGAGTTAGACATGTCAGAATTGCTCAATTAATTTCATTGAGTTGAAATTATCGCCAAATTGAAAGATACTTATTATTTCGGAATATGTAGATCTGTATCTCACTGAACTAGTTTATTTATGAATCGGTCGACAATTATGTCTCTAGATTAATTTGACTGTGATTTAAACGGTAGATCTGTTACTCGGTAACCGCTTAATGGAAAAATCGATCACATTATAGAATTAAGAACTTAGAAAGTAAATACATAAATGTTAATAATAATAATAATAATAATAATAATAATAATAATAATTATCATTATTATCATCATCATCATCAAGTTTATCCACGTCCTACATTTCCAAATTCTGTAGAGCACTGAAATATCGAGCTTCAAAAGTTTATACGGGCCCCGCTAGAAACCCCTGGAGGATGATACGCCCAGTTAGACCGCGATGCCACACCCTGTCAAATCAATCGATCGGTGAAGCATACGACCAGAAGCGCGAGCAAGCGGTCATAACGCTGCTACTTTCACTCAGACAATGCGCGCGAGGACTCTTCCTGTTCGGAAAACGATCGGCGGAACGGGCGCGCGCACGGCGAGTGGCAGCGCGGCGGCGGCCACTTGCTCGTTTCGAAAGGGGCCGTCGGGAGGGCAATTCTAGCGACCGGCTGCTCTGATCGTTTTCCGTGGTTTCTCCGATCAATTTCAGGTGAATGGCGCGACGTGCAAAAGAGCCACGCATCGCGCGCGATCTTTCCTACCTCTTCTTTGTCCTATCCTCATCCCTTACTTACACACACACACACACACACACACACTTTCCTGCACTACACTAGGGTACACTACCACGCACGCCGGGAAACCGGTCGGGAGCTTAGAGCTGGTCCCGGTTGTGGCGGTCCCCCGCTGGTGGGAGATACCTGGTTGAGGAAAATCGCGCTAGCCGACAGTAGGTCGGATCCGGATCTCACCATCTGGCGAGGGAAGATCACTGCCACCTTCCGAGCAAAGAACACGCGCTGCACTTACGGGACTAATGACCTTATCAGCTGATGCGCTTGGAAACTCTAATCAATCAAAAGGAGGCTCTTAGCTCTAAGTAATAAAACATTTTATTTTGTAAATATAACTCTTTCTTTATTTTCTCTTTCCTTGACCGGGCGGGTTGGGAATTGATACACATTTGGGGAAGAGGCTCTCCAAACCATACGAAAAACTTGCAAATAAGGTAAAAAACACAACATAAAATTATACGTATTTATTGATAATTATTCAATTATGTTGTAATTTCATTCTCAGTGTAGTGGGATGTTTTTATTTCCTTGCAATCCATGTCATCTGAAGGTAATAAAGAAAACGGGTTTCTGAGGGTCCCAGAAATATATTTTCCCCTCTCCCCCTCTTGTTTTCGGCAGCGCACGCCTGTGATGGGTGCTATTTTTTGAAACGAGCTGCGTGAAATGCCATTCAAATGTGACGAACATCGGACACGGACCTCGACCCCATTATCACTTCTGTACATAAGGCGAAAGTTCAGACCCCAATAAATTCCGTCATCACCTGGTCATTAAAAAACAACAAAGAAGCCTAGAAAAATATGCCAAAGAAAATGCCAATCGCGATATACGGGAGGGGGCTCTTGCCAACTTACTATCCTTCGCTTCCGCACCCCGAAATTGTACCTTCGCTTGAAGAGATAGCAATCGAGATTCTGAGGCTTAGAGCGCTTCTATCTGACGACCAAATGAAGCAGGGATTCCTATACGTTTCCTTCATAGACTCCAAAGAGAGTTATTTGCTTCATCGGCCGTTATACGTGCCATATGTGTCTTTCACTGTACGATACAACCGTTGAGGGACTTTCATTAGTAATTGACTGGTTTCCTTTTCGAACATCTACACAAAAGGGACCGCACAGATTGACCCGCATGCTCTCATGAAGTCTCTCTTATCTATATCTTTACTGAATATGAGCAACACACGTTTCATAGCCCCGTTTCATAGTACCGATATTTTATCCAACATAGTTTACAACTAGTTTGTCAAATGTAAAGAACTATATGGATATTTTGAAGCACTGAGCAGGAACATTTAAAAAAAAATCAAGAAATAAGTAAAACATTCCAGATAATACTTCAATAAGACCACCACCCCAAACCGGAAATTCTAAGTACTCATTCATATGAACATAGATTCATACAAATAAATGCTCGTTTTCAAATAAACCATAAAAATAGTTGAGCAACTGTTGGTGTCAAAATTGAGATAGCATAACATCATAACAGTCAGAAATACGAGAAAGTAATTGGACGATGTATCACTAGACTCTTATACTTTGCATAAAGGGTATCTTTTTCAGGAATGTCTACAGTTTTCACTTATCACAGATCATTTCTACATTTCTATTTTATCACCTGAATATCACAGATTTGTTCAATTTTTGTTTAAACCTGGAAAACGTATTATACACCTTTGCGGGATGTTTGTTATGTAAATAAAAAGATAATATTAGAACGGGAAATGAAATAGCGATCACAGTGGCTTGAAATCCTCTATGTTAATTAACAGATCGAAATTTTGAAGCGTAGGAACTATGTGCATAAACTTATTTCAATTTCAGTGGCTCTTAGAGCTGAGAGATGAACTTAAGGGAAAGCTTCTTACACCTCATCAACAAATAATATTTTTCCATTTATCTTTTGCTCCTTAACAAATGTATTTTGTAATTTGTGAACACATTCAATTATGAATTATATTGGAGTGACGTGTGGTAACTCTCATTATAATAAACATAAAACAAGTAAAAACTTTTATTTTCTAAAAACTTGCATTTATTTCTAAAAAAGCTATTTAACTTAAATTAACGTCTTACAAAATAACATTCACAAGATTTATACACGTGCACAGCCAGACAATGGTCCCGAAGGAATAAGTTACACTCCTCGACCTCTTCGGGGACTAGGAGGCAGCAATCTGCTATCAGTCAGCCCCAGGCGCGGACGCACGCACGCACGGGCGGCGCGGCGCGGCGCGGCGCGGCGCGACACCACACGACACGCGAAAACACGCGACGACGCGCTCGTGGCGGAAGCGATGGCGATGGCGGCGGCGTGGTCTCTGGCGTGGGCGGTGCCGCTGCCCCACCCTGACCCACCGCGAAGGCAGAGCCACAAGGCCGTCTATGGGCCTTGCGAAGTCCACGAGCAGCAGCTCCTACGCGGGCCCCGTCATCGCCTTGCACGACGCGTCTGCAACACACAACGCCCAAATTCGTACGTGGTCTGCCGAGGGAGACAGTGTTTTGGAAAAATAGTAGTTGTAAAAGTGTAGTAAAAGTATATATTGAGTACACAATTATGAAGGGCTTGGAGGCAGTAACAAGATAAGACACACCATCAACACCAACTTTCTCACAATTCGTAAATATTAAAATCTTGATTTTGGTCAAAGTATGTCTCACCTTGTTCTGCTGCACGTCCCTCATAAATATGAATAAGGCACTCTTAGTAATACGTACGTTTTGGCTTTCGTCAAAACGTACGTATTACTATTTATTAACATTATTTATGAATAACGTGCAGTCTGTTGTGGCTGGAGTGGCTAACGTCATAACTGCTCCAACCCTTCGTATGTTACACACTTAAGACGATGGTGTACAATACAATAATAGTTTCATGGATTGACTGGTGTAAGAAGTCAACGTTGGAAATCGTTTCCCATATAGGGTCAATTAAATTAGCATTTACATTTATACAATATTGAATGTTTCATCACATGCCAAGAAAGAGGTAATTAATTAAATTGTCCGATTTAAAACAGATTATTAAACGTTAAAAATAAATAATTTAAAAACTGACTCTAAGATAACTGCTTTCAGTCTGTGGTTTTGAAACGTTCGGTTGCGAATACTTGCAATTTAATTCGTTGATGAACTTCCCTATGGAAACTATTTTTACTTTCCACTAATCCTTTGGCATTTCATTTTAATTTTGTTTGACATATTATTAAGTTTTCAATAACCCATGGCAATATGAAATAGAAAGACGAAATGATTATTAGATCATGAGGGTCCACGCTCACTGGATTCATCTCAGACAATTCATTGGCGACATGTTAAATGGCACTTAGAATTGGGTTTTAAAATGTTCCCAGAAAAAAAACTTGTGAACTGCTGTAAATATACGGCCAGCGATAAGTGGTAAATGAATGGGCGTCTATGTCTCATGTACTTGAGTAAGCATTGTTTTACTGACACGACGCGATGTGGCGTGACGTGGTAAAATATCACCACGTTGTAGTACACCGAGTTTACTTCTCTGTGTGGCAAAGGCTTCCATTAATCATATTTGACAGTGATAGTGAATCGCGAAGCGATTACCAAAGCTTAGACTACGACTATTCCTCTCGTTGCAATGCAGTGAATGGCGGGAGGTGAGAGAATTTTTTGACCTGACATTTTAACTACTTACTTCCTGTGTACTATATGTGTAGTTCAGATAATATTCCGCGAGCTGACGGTATTCCGCTATCTGGAACACGAGATCCAACACACCCCTGCACACCGACCTTCGGTTTTTTAAATCTCTAGATCCCCCCCCCCCGCGAGGTACCGCCCCAGCCGACAGAACAACCCCTAAATTCCCTGTCTCCCTGTATAGTCAGTGCAGTGCATGCCGGCGTATAAAACCTGTTTTACACGATCATTTTTTCATAATTTTTCGCCAGTACAGAAAAGATACAGACCAGACAGCATTTAATTTGCACGAAAAAATGACGCATGATTAATTTTTCGGTACAGATTTCATCTGGTTTGACTACCGCTCTCGTGGCGGCACCTTACGGGACTTTCACTGGTTTGTTATGCGTGTGGAGCGAAATGTTCATTTTGCAGTTGTGTGAGAGAGTTCTGATGTGTTGAATTGTACTGTGAAGTGGTTATGTAGTGAGAAATAAATTATGTTCTGTATTCTAATATTGTCGCATCCGTGCTCAACTCATCACTCTCATCCAGTTTCGGCACCGAAACATACTGCGTAGAAAAGAACGTCCTTTTTCCATTCACTTTCTGTACAGAAATGTGATGAAAAAAGGATGGAAAAATGACCGAGTAAAACAGGCCTAAAGGAAGATGAAAGGTCAAGGACGACGAAGGAAAGACAGCGCGCGGCCCGTGCTCCGGCATTCGCCTGGTGTGGATGGGAGAAAACGACTGATGAGCGCATCACAAGTCTCCTCCAGGGCCACTCGGGCGCTTTAGGGCGCCTTCCCACGCCGCCACAGCAGCGCGCGTACGTCAATCGGCAGGGCTCTTCGCCGACCCTCCGGCGACGATGGACAAAGGGATTGCAGCAGGTATAAACAGCAGCTCTGCGCAGCGGCCGTGGCGCAGTGGGAAGGCTACCATTTAAAGCTATATTCTACTAGCGGTGGCGCGTACGCACTCCTCCGCTTCGCGTAGCGAGAGCCCGCCAGCGCTTGTCGCAACAGCGGACGCCCGTTGCACGTGGGATGGGGCCCTTAGGGCCCCTTCCCACGGCGACTGCGGCGCGCTTCGCAGCAGCGCGGCGCGTAGCAGAGCATTGGTTTGAATGGAGGCCTTCCCACGTGCAGCGGGTGGCGGCTGCTGCGGCAGCCGACGCCAAACTCCAGCCACGGGAAGCTGAGGAGTAGGCACGCGCCACCTCTAGCAGAACACAGCTTTAAATGGGCACCTTCCCACTGCGCCACGGCCGCAGCGTTCTACCTGCTCCGGTCCCTTTCTTCGTCGTCGCCGGAGGGTCGGCGAAACCTACCCCTCCAGACCCCCACCCCCTTCCACGGCGGGCGGCAGTGCGACCGTGGCTTCGGCGGTGGCTGCGTCGGAAGGGCTCTGCTGCTTGCAGGAAGCGCGCCGCGGTCGCGCCGTGGGAAGGCGCCCTAAGGGCTGGGCGCGATGCGCTGCGCTCACCGTAGGAGGGCAGGTGCGTGGGCGCGAGCAGCGCGGATAAACTAACATTCACTTGATGAAGAAAGCCAACGAGCGCGTCATAGTATATTCATCCAATCATAACCGATTAGAAATGTCAGAATGCTCAATAATTGGCATTGGGACAGTTGAAATAATTCAGCCAAGATTGAAGATTACTTATTATTTCGGAATATGTTAATCTGTATCTCAATGAACTAGTTTATTTATGATCGGTCGACAATTCATGTCTCAATAGGATTAATTTCACTGTGACTAAACCGGTAGATCTGTACTCGTAACGCTTAATGGAAAAATCGATCACATTTATAGAATTAAGAACCAGAAATTAAATACCATAAATGTTAATAATAAAATAATAATAATATGAATAATAATAATAATAATAATAATAATAAATATGAATAATAATAATATGAAATAAATAATAATATGATAATATTGAATAATAATAATAATTAATAATAATAATATGAATAAATAATGATGATAATAACGGTTTATCCACGTCCTACATTTCCAAAAATCGTAGAGCACGGAAATATCGTGCATTCAAGTTTATACGAACCCCTGTTTAAAGAACCCCTGGAGGATGATACTGTGGCGTCGTTAACACCGAAGGGCCAGAACCGTTAGGTCGTTGAAAGTACGCGCGAGGAAAAGAAGGGGTTTGGCTTGGAACTTCCGGGAGTTTGCCGCGCTGGCGGTTGACTCGGGTAGACCGCCAGGAGGCCAAAAAATACCGTAGCTGTAAACTCCGAGGATGCTAGCAGCGAGGCCCGCTTTTATGGTTGCCAACTGAGAATCCTGTGTGGGGGCGTAAAACCAAGCTGCTGGCCAGCGAGCCTTATCTACGGAACAGTGGTGGGGGCTGTTAGCCTCAACTATTTAACGCGGGCGCCATCTGCGCCCGGCGTCCTTCAGTTAGCCATCGGGGAGCTTTGTATGTGTATTACTAGTAGTGTAGTGAGTGTGGGCGAGATGTTCCGGAGAGTAAGGGTCCAGACGATCTCGCTGCTGTAGCACACGGTCGCCGCACCGGTTTTAAAATTTTCGTTAGGCTAATGTGCACTGTAATGTCACGGACGGAGTTCCGACAGCTCGCGATCACGCGTGTCTTGTTATTGTCTGCGGTTAGATAGCGATTTGTTGCTAGAAGAAAAAGTTGCCGAGTGTTTTAATATTAGCAATTCATTGTAAACTTGTACATAATCCTTGAATAAATTATTTTATTTTCGTATTGGAATTTATTTCTTATTTTACTACGTCACAATACGCCCCAGTTAGGACCGCGATGCCACAACACTGCTCAAAATCAATCGATCGGTGAAGCATACGGACCAGAAGCCGGGAGCAAGCGTCATAGGACGCTGCTATTTCAACTTCAGACAATGGCGCGCGAGACTCTCCGTGAGGTTTCGGAAAAACGATCGGCGGAAACTGTGCGCGCGCACGGCGAGTGGCAGCGCGGCGGCGGCCACTGCTCGTTTCGAAAGGGGCCGTCGGGAGGGCCAATCTAGCGACCGCTGCCTCTGATCGTTTTCCGTGCGTTTCTCCGAGCAACTTCAGGTGAATAGGCCGGACGTGCCAAAAGAGCCACGCATCGCGCGCGATCTTCCTACCCTCTTCTTGTCCTATCCTTCATCCCTTACTTACACACACACACACTTCCCTCACTAGGTACACTACCACCGCACGCATGGAAACCGTCGGGCGAGCTAGAGCTGGTCCCGGTGGGCGTCCCCCGCTGGTGGGAGATACCTGTTTGAGGAAATCGGCTAAAGCCGACCAGTTAGGTCGTATCCGATCTCACATCTGGCGAGGAAGATCACTTCACCTCTCCGAGCAAAGAATTACGCGCTTGCCCACTTACGAGACTAATAACCTTATTCAGCTGATGCGCTTGGAAACCTCTAATCAATCCAAAAAGGAGGCTCTTAGCTCTAAGTAATAAACATTTTTATTTTGATAAATAACTCTTTTCTTATTTTCTCTTTCCTTGACGGGCGGGTTGGGAATTGATACACATTGGCGGCAGAGGCTCTCCAAAAATACGAAAAACTTGCAAATAAGGTAAAAACACAACATAAAATTAAACGTATTTATTGAAATATTCAATTATGTTGAATTTCATTCTCAAGTGAGTGTGATGGTTTTTATTCTTGCAATCCATGCATCGGAAGGTAATAAAGAAAACAGGTTTCTGAGGTCCCAGAAATTATATTCCCCTCTCCCCCTCTTGTTTTCGGCAGCGCACGCCTGTGATGGGGCTATTTTTTGAAACGAGCTGCGTGAAATGCCATTCCAAATGTGACGAAACATTCGGACACGACCTCGACACCCATTATCACTTCTGTACATGAGGCGAAAGTTCAGACCCAATAAATTCCGTCATTCACCTGGTCATTAAAAAACCAACAAAGAGCCTAGAAAATATGCCAAGAAAATGCCAATCGCCGATATACGGGGAGGGGGGCTCTTGCCAACTTACCTATTGTAACTGTATTAGCCAGCGTTGCCTCATGGCCATCTATTGGGACGCTTGGTTGCGGGATTAGTCTCGCCACAGGATAGTAGGGTTTTCCGTATAGGAAGAACGCGGAGACGGGAGACACCAAGGCTTTGGGTGTCTCCGGCTTATTAGCAGCTTTTCACTGTTATAACAAGTCGAGGGGTGGCGTGACGTAGAGAGGTCACGATGGCCTCGCCTATATAACAGCGTGTACGGCAGCCAGTAGGCAGGTTCTGCAGACGGTGGAGAACCTCGTTGCGTGTGCACAAAACTGGCGCCAAGACGGTGCAATGCGAGCCAGGCTCGCGAGCTGAGATCATAGTTGACGAGCCTGCGACTTTATGGCCTTGGTGGACTGCGGTTCACGGGGCGAGCGATGCTGTGTGCGTGCTCCGAGGTGAAGTGGTTGAGGCCACGATTACGCCGATTCTCATCGGATAAGATCGCTCCTTTTGCCGATCGAGCAAACCAGCCGTTGGTGCGCCAGAACGGACTTGTGTCCAGCGTGACATCCCGGTCACGGAAGATAGGCTGTTTGCGCGCTTCAAAAGTAGGAAGCGAGTGGCGAATGCCACAATCAAAACCATCTTCAATCGGGTTTTGATCGCTCCGCGATCAGGCGGATAGTAGGTCTATCAAGCTAGGGTGTAAGTTAAAAATTATTAAGTGTATATATTTGTTTTGTTTTTCTTGTTAATAAAATATATATGTTTATACGAAAGCTCTGTGTCTGTGTCGCTTGTGAGTATCCCATTGACGTCACACTATCCGTCGCTTCCGCAGCCCGAAATTGTTACCTTCGCTGAAGAGATTAGCAATCGAGATTCTGAGACTTTGATAGCCTTCTATCTGACGACGAATGAAGCAAGGGATTCCTATACGTTTCCTTTCATAGACTCCAAAAAGAGCTATTTGCTTTCATCGGACATTATACCGTGCCATATGTGTCTTTCATGTACATACAACCGTTGAGGGGACTTGCATATGTAATTGACTGGTTTCTTTTCGAACATCTACACAGAAGGCGGCCCGCACCAGATTGACCGCATCTCTCATGAAGTCTCTCTTATCTATAGTCTTTACTGAATATGAGCAACCACACGTTTCATAGCTCCATATTTTATCCGAACATAGTTAACAACTAGTTATTCAAATGTAAAGAAATATATGGAGTATTTTGAAGCACTGAGCGGACATGTAAAAAAATCAAGAAAAAAGTAAAACGATTCCAATAAAACTTCAATAAGACACCACTCAAAACCGGGAAATTTCTAGTACTTATTTCATATGAACATAGATTCATACCAAATAAATGCTCGTTTTCAAATAAACCATTAAAATTGTTGACAACTGTTGGTTGTCAAATTGAGATAGCATAACATTATAACAGTCAGGAAAATACGGAGAAAGTAATTGGACGAGTATCACTAGACTCTTATACTGCATAAAGGTATCTTTTTCAGGAATGTCTACAAAGTTTTCACTATACACAGATCATTTCTACATTTCTACTTTATATCACCTGATATCACAGATTTGTTCATTTATATGTTAAACCTGGAAAAACTATAAACACCTTTGCGGATGTCTGTTGATGGTAAATAAAAAGCATAATATTAGAACGGAAATAAAATAGCGATCACAGTGCGCGTGGAAATCCCTCTATGTTACATTAACAGATCGAAATTTTGAAGCGTAGGAACTATGGCATAAACTTTATTTCAATTTCAGTGGCTCTTAGAGTGAGAGATGAACTTAAAGGGAAAGCTTCTTTACACCTCATCAACAAATAATATTTTCCATTTTCTTTTGCCCTTAACAAATGTTATTTTGTAAGTGTGAACACATTCAATATGAATTATATGGAGTGACGTGTGTAACTCTCCTTATAATAAACATAAAACCAAGTAAAAACTTTATTTGTCTAAAAACTTCATTTATTTATAAACACAAAGCTATTTAACTTAAATTAACGTCCTTACCAAAATAACATTCACAAGATTTATTACACGTGCACAGGCCAGAACAATGGTCCCGAAGGAATAAGTTACACTCCTCGACCTCTTCGGGGACTAGGACGCAGCAATCTTGCTACAGCAAGCCCCAGGCGCGAACGCACGCACGCACGGCGGCGCGGCGCGGCGCGGCGCGGAACCACACGACACGCAAAACACCGACGATGCGCTTGTGGCGGGAAAAGCAGATGCGATGCGCGGCGTGTCTCTGGCGTGGCGTGCGCTGCCCCACCCTGACCCACCGCGAAGGCAGAGCCCACAAGGCCGCTATGGCCTTGCGAATGTCACGAGCAGCAGCTCCTACGCGTGCCCCCGTCATTGCCTTGCACGACGCGTCTGCAACCACACAACGCCCAAATTCTACGTGGTCTGCCGAGAGACCAGTGTTTTGGAAATAATAGTAGTTGTAAAAGTGAGTAAAATATATATTGAGAGTACACAATTATGAAGGTCTTGGAGGCAGTAGTAACAAGATAAGACACACCATCAACACCAAACTTTTCCACAATTCGTAAAATATTAAAATCTTGATTTTGTCAAAGTATGTCTCACCTTGTTCTGCTGCAGTTCCCTTCATAAATATGAATAAGGCACTCTAGTAATACCGTACGTTTTGCTTTCGTCAAAGCCGACGTAATTACTATTAGTAACATTATTTATGATAACGTGCAGTCTGTGTGGCTGGAGTGCTAACGTTTCATAACTGCTCCCAACCCTTCGTATGTTACACACTTAGACGATGGTGTACAATACAATACTAGTTTCATGGATGACTGATGCTAAGAAGTCAACGTTGGAAATCGTTGCCCTGTAGGGTCAATTAAATAAGCATTTACATTTATACAATATGAATGTTCTTCACATTGCCAAGAAGTGGTAATTAATTAAATTGTCCGAATTTAAAAACAAGATATTAAAACGTGAAAAATAAATAATTAAAAAACTGACTCTAAGAGATAAACTGCTTTCAGTCCGTGGTTTTGAAACGGGTCGTCGAATACTTGCAATTTAAATTCGTGATGAACTTCCCTATGGAAACTGGCATTTCATTTTAAATTTTGTTTGACATATTATTAATTTCAATAACCCATTGGGAATATGAAATAGAAAGACGAAATGTTTATTTGATCAGGAGATCCACGCCCACTGGATCATTCAGACGAATTCATGGGCGACATGTTAAATGGCACTTGAGAATTTGGGTTTTAAAATGTTCCCAGAAAAAAACCTTGTGAACTGCTGTAAATATACGGCCAGCGATAATGGTAAATGAAGGCGTCTAGTTGTCCCATGTACTTGAGTAAGCATTGTTGTCTTACTGACACGACGCGATGTGGCGCGTGACGTGGTAAATATCAACCACGTTTGTAGTACACCGAGTTTACTCTCTGTGTGGCAAAGGATTCATTAATCATATTTGACAGGCTAGTGAATCGCGAAGCGATTTACCAAAGCTGTAGACTACGACTATTCCTCTCGTTCGCCCAATTGCAGTAATGGCGGGAGGTGAGGAGAATTTTTGACCTGAACATTTTATCTACTTACTTCCTGTGTACTATATGTGTAGTTTCAGATAATATTCGCGAGCTGACGTATTCCCACCTGGAACACGAGATCCATCACACCCCTAACACCCGACTTAGTTTTTTAAATCTCTAGCACCCCCGCGAGGTTACCGCCCCAGCCGACAGAACAACCCCTAAATTCCTGTCTTCCTGTAGAGTCAGTGCAGTGCAGCCGCGTGTAAACCTGGTTACACGACATTTTTCATAATTTTTCGCCAGTACAAAGAAAAATACAAGGACCAGACAGCATTATAATTGTACGAAAAAATGGACGCGATGCTTAATTGTCCGGTACAGATTTTATCTGTTTGACTACCGCTCTCGTGGCGGCACCTACGGGACTTTCACTGGTTTGTTATGCGTGTGGAGCGAAATGTTCATTTTGCAGTTGTGTGAGAGAGTTCTGATGGTGGAAATTTACTGTGGGAAGTGGTTTATGTAGCTGAGAAATAAATTATAGTCTGTATTCTAAATTGTCGCCATCCGTGCTTGCCATAATAAACTGAATTTGTTACCACGATGCGATGTTCAAATGTTTGAACTGCAGCGCTATATACCCGGCGTCCGCCAGAAAGTATTTCTTCACTATACTACAAGACGAAATGACCGTGTATACGCTGAAATCACTCTATTCCAGTTTCGGCACCGAAACAGATACTGCGTAAAACGAACGTCCCTTTTTCATCCACTTTTCGTTACCAGAAATATGATGAAAAAAGGATGAAAAATGACCGATAAAAACAGGCCTAAAGAAGATGAAAGGTCAAGGACGAACGAAGGAAAGACAGCGCGCGGCCCGTGCTCCGGCATTCGCCTGAGTGTGGATGGAGAAAACGACTGAATGAGCGCATCACAAAGACGTCCTCCAGACCACTCGGGCGCTAGGGCGCCTTCCCACGCCGCCACAGCAGCGCGCGTACGTAAATCGGCAGGCTCTTCGCCGACCCTCCGGCGACGCATGGACAAAGGATTGCAGCAGGTATAAACAGGCCAGCTCTTGCGTTGCGCGCCGTGCGCAGTGGGAAGGCTACCATTTAAAAAGCTATATTTTACTAGCGGTTGCGACGACGACTCTCCGCTTGCGTAGCGAGAAGCCCGCCAGCGCTTTCGCAACAGCGGACGCCCGTTGCACGTGGGATGGCCCTTAGGACCCTTCCCACGGACGCGACCGCGGCGCCGCTCCAGTAAGCGGCGGCCGCGTAGCAGAGCAATTGTTTGAATGGAGCCTTCCCCACGATGCAGCGGGTGGCGGCTTGCTGCGGCAGCCGACGCCAACTCCAGCCCACGCGGAGTGAGGATGAGGCCCGCGCCACCTCTAGCAGAACACAGCTTTAAATGGCACCTTCCACTGCGCCACGGCCGCAGCGTTCTACCGCTCGCGTCCCTTTCTTCGTCGTCGCCGAGGGTCGGCGAAAACCTACCCCTCCAGACCCCCACCCCCTTCCTTGCGGCGGCCAGTGCGACCGTGGTGCGTCGAAGCGGCTTCTGCTGCTTGCAGAGCGCGCCGCGTCGCGCCGTGGAAAGGCGCCCTAAGGGCTGGGCGCGATGCGCAGCGCTCACCGTTAGAGGCAGGGTTGCGGTGGGCGCGAGCAGCGCGGGCCGGCATGTTGGACGCGCGTTGGTAGGCGCGCAGGCGTCGGCGGGCTGGGCGGCGGCGGCGCCGGCGCTGCTGCGCGGCGGCGGCGGGGCCTCTGCGCGGAGCGGCTGCGCGTGCGAAGGCGAGCGCGGCGGC